TTCCAGGCTCGCGTCTGTTTCCTGGTATGGGGCTCGGGTTCGATCTCGCCCGAGGCAAAATAGAAGCCCTGCAAAAATTTCAAAAATGGTGCCGATGCCAGCGGTAGGCCCAGGTTGACAGGCCGGTAGAATCCAGTTGCTGCAAAAATTTGTGGAAGTCGCGATGACTTCATGACCGTAACAGTTATCTGCCCCAACGTCAGAGTTCCGTAGGACTAATGTGGTGTTTTTGCTCTTTTCTACCTGTACACACACATTCCATATCTTAGAGATGGAAAGGGCGTGGCGTATACCTCACCTCAGTATAGCGGGAACTGCGCTACTGATTGATATTGTCGTTTTTGAACAATTGTAATGGCGTCTCTGTTCAACAAAGGGCAGGATGTCTTTTGCATCAGGTCAAAACTCCCCTCGGAAAACGTATCTGTGCCGTGATCAAATGAAGCACGCAGCCACGCCCTCCTCTTCTCCGGGATATGAAGTGTAGCTGCTGGAGAATCCCATCGAGGGTGATACCACAACCGTTCCTTTCGGAGTCGTACTGAAACAGCTCACATCTTGATGACGTTCCTGTCTCTAACGCTACGTTAGGAGCGCAGCGCTCAATACTTTTGTTTGTTGGGGAACTAACTTTTCAGTACCCTCTAAAAATATTTTTCTTCCTTGTCCCCAAAATGTGCGTTAATTGCCGCCTTCAGCTCTTCATCGTCAGAAAAACGCTTTCCACGAAGATTTTTTAGGTTGGGGAACAAGAAGTAATCACTAATCATTTTCTCAATTTTCTTTTCATTTTTCTCAATTTTTTATCAGTAATCATTTTCTCAACATTGTCGCATCAGTAATTCTAATCTTCACTCACCAGGGATGACTAGAATAGCATCGATAATAACCACATGGAGTTTTGTATTTATCACACGCGCCATCCTGAACAGGATTGGCAGAACACTAGACGAAGGACAGCCATGCGAGCAAGCAGGGTTTCGAAGAGGATTCACATCCACACGGTAACGAAGCTCATTGAAGTATCGCGAGAGTACAAGATGCCGTTATGTCTCACGTTCATCGACTTGAAGAAAGCCTTCGACTCCGTTGAGACAGAAGCGGTTATCGAAGCCTGGGC